TGCTCTCTCACGAGGACCCGGCCGCAGGTTCACCATGGGGCGTTCGTGGCATCTTCCGCCTGTGCACCCCCGCCTGTTTCGATAGCCTCCTCGCCCTCCCCTTCCCCTCACCTCCGTGCTCGTTTACCCCGTCATTTTCCCCCTCCCCGTCATCCCTCGTCCCTATTGCCATTCATTGCCACTCTTCCCTTGCTCATCTTCCTTTTTCTCCCTATCCTGCCTTGCTCTCCATTTCCTCCACTCCCTCTCCTTCCGCAGCTTCCCGAGATCAATCATCCCTCGGCACGCGCTTGGCCCATGACGGACCCTCCTAAGAAGAGCAAGCGCTACAAGGATAAGGTCATCGCCAACAAATTGCGCAGGAGGGAACAGCGTGCACGCAAGTTCGCTCAGAGCGCTCGAGTGGTCGGCCTGCTCAAAATTAGCCTGGCGAAGGACCCAACCATATGCAGCTGCGAGTACCGCGCGGATATGAGACGAAGGAGGGGGCACGCAAACTAGGCCCCTCTTCTCATAAGCACCGCGCCGCTGCATGGACGAGGCACAGGGCAGCGCGGGCAGGAGGTGGCGGGCGGAGGAGGAGAGCTCACTGGGGCGAGCCAACACATCAGTATCATCATCGCATCATGAGACCTGTTACTGGGCACGCAGGAAAAGGTGACGGAGACACCGTGTAGATGTCGAAGGCAGGTCAGCAGCGGCAGAAACGAAACGGGGAAGCGCGCGGTCAAGAAGCGATGGGAAGCAGGAGGAGCGAGAGACGAGGGGATACGTTTTTGCCTCCAGACCGACAGCGAGCCACGCAGAATGCAGCGCGCAGGCGGCGCCGCGCGAAAGTGCCTGGGAAGTCCTCGCCGACGCGGTCCGGTCATCCCGAGGGAATCCCATCGACGCGCGGGGGTTGTCCACTGCGACTCTGATTCAACGGATAGCGCCCCCGTGCTGCGTGGCGAGGCGTGCGGAAATGGCGCGATCTGGGTGAAATCCCCCGACAGGCGCCGGTCATCCTCTGGCGAGAAATCCCGACGACGAGCTGGGGTCATCCAAGCGTCAGCGACAACCAGCGCGCGCCGCTGGCTCGTGCGGGGCCGCTCCCCAGGCCAGGCCTCGCGGATGAACTCGCTGAAGCCCAGCTCTCTGGCGAGGGCCGTCGCCTCCCTCCTGCGCCGCTTCGTGCGCGCAGCAAACTGCTCCAGCTGCTTCCGCAAGCCCTCCGGCGGCCCTGCCAGGAAGAACTCGATGAGCGGCGCCCGCATGAGCAGGAGATCCTCGTGGCGCGTGGCGCGCGAGAGCAGCGCGTAGAGCTCCAGCCACCAGTCGTCGTCCTCCTTCTTGCCGTTCCCGACCTCGTGGCGGCCGCAGTCCAGGATCACGCCTGCCTGGGCGGCGTCGGTCGAGGGAGCGGCGCGCAAGACAGCCGACGGCCAAGGGCGAGAGTCCACGGGGCCGAGAAGGTCCGGCTGCGGACCGCTCGCGTTCGAAGGGTTCGGCCGTAGACTGCCCGGTGGCGCCGTTCCCCCGCCCCGCCGCCTTCCCGCATGGTGCGCCCCTGGCACGCCACCGTGGTGATGACCCTGCCGTGTGAAAACGGGAAGCCCGTCCGGGTGACTTTGGAGGTGCGGGCGGTGAACGGCTCCGACGTGCGGGGCTCGATGAACACCAGCGGGCCCGCGAGGTCCCCCGTGAGGCTGTCGTCGTGGCGCTTCAGGTCGTCCACGAAGGGCGCGCCCGCGTACTTCTCCATGCGCACCCAGAACCCCTGGGGCAAGCGCGCGCGAGGGGTGTGCCAAAATGGGGTGGCGGCGGCATGCGAACGCAGCCATTTGGGCCTTAGATGGAGCTCCCAATGGGGCCACGAAACGTGTGAGGGGTGTACCAAAATTGGGTGGCGGCGGCATGCGGACGCAGCCATTTGGGCCTTCGGTGGAGCTCCCCATGGGGCCACGAAGCGTGTAAGGGGTGTGCCAAATATGGGGTGGCGGCGGCATGCGGACGCAGCCATTTGGGACTTAGATGGAGCTCCCTATGGGGCCACGAAACGTGTGAGGGGTGTGCCAAAATTGGGCGGCGGCGGCATGCGGACGCAGCCATTTGGGCCTTCGGTGGAGCTCCCCATGGGGCCACGAAACGTGTAAGGGGTGTGCCAAAAATGGGGTGGCGGCGGCATGCGGACGCAGCCATTTGGGCCTTAGATGGAGCTCCCTATGGGGCCACGAAACGTGTGAGGGGTGTGCCAAAATTGGGTGGCGGCGGCATGCGGACGCAGCCATTTGAGCCTTCGGTGGAGCTCCCTATGGGGCCACGAAGCGTGTGAGGGGTGTGCCAAAATTGGGTGGCGGCGGCATGCGGACGCAACCATTTGGGCCTTCGGTGGAGCTCCCTATGGTGCCACGAAACGTGCGAGGGGTGCGCCGATGATGATAATGATGATGATGGTGATGATGATGACCGACAACCACGATGTGGATGATGATGATGACGATACTCATGATGATGAGCACGATGAGGATGGTGATGATGATGGGAAGAGGGGGGAGGGGGCAGCGGGAGGAGGAGGAACGCGGGGCACCGTCTATTCAAAACGAAGACCCAACACCACAGGATGGCTGGGACAAAACCGGATCCAAGTCAAGAAAGAACACGCCCAGAAAATATCGGCCTTGACCGAGCAGCTGAGGGCAAAACCCTGGAGTGCAACAAGTACGCCAAAGAGAACGGGAGGCCGGGCGGGGCAACGCTTACCCACTCCCGCCCTGTTCGCTCCAGTTGCTCAGTCCCGCGGGGGCCCCCGCGCCCTTGCCGCGGACCGAGCAGCAGGGAACGGCGGCGGGCAGTGGATGCGTTCGCCCGCCCGTAGGCTTCGGAACCTTGGCGCCAAAGTGGACCGCCTGAGCGAGGACAAGAGGAACCTGCAGAGGGCCCTCGCCTGCCGAACGACAGGAGACAACCGAGCCACCAACCAACTGCAACGGCAACTTCAAAAACTCACCGAACAGAACGCCGAACTGCAGACCGCCGCCCAGGACTTGAAGACCACCGTCCAGGACTTGAAGAGCGAGCTCAAGACTTCGAAGAAACGCGACCACGAGCTCTGGCACCACAGGATGTTCACGTCCTGGATCATGGGGAAGGCGAACCCCGGCACCCTGAAGTTCCTCAAATACCACTGGTGGAAGGCCCCTGACCGGCGGGGCCCCCCGGACGGGGGCTGGGGCGGCGGCCAGTAGCCCGGCCGCGGGCGCGCGGGGGAAAACGGCAAGCCCAAAAACGCTTCTCTCTGCCGCTCGGGAAAGGGGCGGGGGCAGCAGGGCAGGAAGGCGGCAGACGGGAAGGACGAACGCCTTCAAGGCCGCAGATTTATTCGCGAGCTTGCGCTTGGGACGCCGCCCAACACCCCGCGCCGACCCTGGGCTGGTTCGCGGCTCCACGTGGGCGGGGCGCCGGCTTGTCGTGGCCTGGTTCCGCGCCGGATTCGCCCCGGCCCGCGGCCCGCCCCCGACCCGCGTGTGGACCCGTTTTTCGCCGGCCGATAATCCAGCCTGCGCCCGGCGCGGAGCCCAGTCAGTCTTCGGTCAGCTTTATAGCCCGGCCGCCCTCTGGCCAGCGAGGGGCCGACATCCGCGACCCCCGCGCGACGCCCTCAGCCAGCCCACCAAAGCCTGCCCCTGGCCGGCTTCCAGCCGGCCCTCGGCCGGCCGGGGCCTTCAGCCGGCTTCCAGCTGGCCTTCAGCCGGCCTTCGGCCGGCCACAAGCCGGCCTCTGTGGCTGGCCTTTCGCCGGCCTGGCCTCTACCCGGCCTTGCCCCTGGCGCCCCCTTCGCCGGCCTTGAGCTGGCCCCTAGCTGGCTTCTTCCTGGCCCTATAGGAAGTCCTTAGCTGGCCTCTAGCCAGCCCCGCTCTTATCTGGGCGCCCGATGGGCGTGGAAAGAATGGGCGCAATGCCCAACAGCAGTTCCTGTTCACTTTGAACAGGATTCGCTGTCCGCGCGCCGCGGACTGCGTCCATTCGAGACAGGAGGCCGCCTGCCCAACAGCGGCCGCCGTTGGTTTGGGACAACATTTGTTGTTGGGCGTTGCACCCATTTCCGCGCCCATTTCGGGCGTCCAAATCGTAGGCTGCCCCTTTTCGCTGGCTCTCGGCCGGATAGCCAGCCTTGCTGGCCTCTGCCTGGCCGCCAGGCCTGTAGCCGGCCTCTAGCCAGCGGTCGAGCTGGCCCATGAGCCGGCCCTCAGCCAGCTTCTTGCCAGCCCTGAACAAAGCTTATCGCCGACCCTCAGTCGGCTTGGCCGGCCCCGAACCGGCGACGCCGCAATCTACAAGGCGTCCGCCAGCCGACCTCGGGGGGGACCCACAAAATGGATCCCCCTTTGAAGGCCCGGCGACGACGGGGAGGGAAGGATGTGGCTTTACGACTATAGGGACGACGGACGCGATGACGGACAACAGACCTTCGGACGACGGGCGACGGACGACGACGGTCGACGACGGACGACGACGACGACCACCACGACGACCACGACGACCACGGCGACGACGCGACGACACGACGACGACGACGGGCTCGACCAGGGCTCCGCCAGCCGATTCGGGGGGGATCCACAAAAAGGATCCCCCTTTGAAGGCCCGGCAACGACGGGGAAGCAGGGGGAAAAGGAACAGGATGTGGTTTTACGACTAGGGACGACGGACGACAGACCACGGACGACGGGCGACGACGGACGACCGACGACGACGACGACGACCACGACCACGACGACCACGACGACGACGACGACGGGCGCGACGACGACGACGACGACGACCACAGCGGACGCGATGACAGACGACGTGCGCGACAACGGACTAAGGGGGGTGCCCGGGAGGGCGCTCGGGGTTGAAGGAAGGGGGGTGTCTTGGGTTACAAGGCCGTGGATTTCTGGGCTGAGAAGCCTCGCGGGTGTCTGAGTGTGGAAGCTTCGAACTAGACCAGGGCCCCCCGCATCGCCCTTCGCCCGCGCCAGGGGCGTCGTCTCCACCTTCATCGCCCCGGTCATCGCCGCCGTCGGCTCAAGCGCCCAGGCTCTCTTGAGCCAGATGGCGGCAGGCGCTCCGTTGGGGCGCGATTTCTCACTGGCCACAGTGCTCGCTCCCCTTCCACCGGCGGCCTTCGGTGATGTGGCGCGGGTGCTTTCCGCGGCCCCCTCGGCCTTGGCAGTGCCTTTCGTCCGGGTGCTCGCGGAGCGGAACCACGGGGTCGAGTTGACCGACAACGCCGTGACGAATGTCATTTGGAAGCTCGCTCACTATCTTAACTTCGGCAAGGGCGTTGATTTTGATTTCAACAATCCGTACCTCAAAGAACTGCAGAAGCTGGTGCCTTCGGCCCCCACAGTTGAGGTGCGCTCCACTCACGGTCGTTGCCCCCGGTGCCACATGGCAGACCTCCAGAAGTGCGCCCTAAAGACATGCAGCCGGGCGGCCTTCAATGTTCAACGGCGCAATCGCGGCAAGATGGTTCTGGAGACCCGGCACCGCGTTTACACCATGGGCGCCGGGATCCAGAACGCCTCCTTCTCGGAGGAATACTGCCCCAAGTGCGCCTTGCATTTCCTCGGGCAGTGGCAGTACGAGAAGCACGACAGAAGTAGCGGGCGAGGGACTTACGGGAAGATGATAAACATCAAGCTCGTTTCGGGGTCCAGCTCCCTCAAGTATTTCTTCGTTCCGCGCGAGAAGGCTTGGCACGCCGTCGACGCGAAGCTATTGCAGTTCCTCACGGACGAGCTACACCACAGTGGGGGGACATTCAATTCTGCAGTTCTGGCATGGAGCGAGCACCGCACTGAGCTCGCGCAGCGAGGGCTGATTCCTGGCGAAGACTTGACGCTTCTACGAGCCAATGGCGTTCGCTTGGAGGACGCTTGGTATGCGCGCCACGCTGCCCGCCTCGCCGGCGGCGCCGCATCCGAACTCACGTGGTCTTTCACCAGGGGCGGCTTGGAGTCGACGTTGCTCGCTCTCGCGCCAGCCGTGCGCCAAGCCCACGTCGAGCGCGCCGTTGAGCACGCCCGCACTTGCCCGAAGTGTGCTGGCGATCTCCTTGTCCTTCTGGACGGGAAATACGGTGCGCGTCGATTCATATGTGGCGGGCTGGACGGTTACGAAAACATGGGCACGCTGCAGATGGAACTCTACACGGGGTGTCTGAAGAATGCCCCCGCCGGGCGATTCTTCTGCGCTCAATGTCAGACGGCGCGTGCTGGACAGAACAATCATCCCGCAGACGGAGATTTTGGGCATCGCTCCCGCGGCCGCCCCGAACGGCGAAGCGTCTGCCCTGAGATACTTGGTGCGCTGCTCGGACCCAGACAATCCGAGCGAGACCTTCGACGCCTTCCTGCCGAGGGCGGAAGTATCACAAGAGCTGCTAGCAACCTACGAGAAGTCTCTGCTTCCAGCAAATGGAGACCATGGGAACAAGAAGGCGCGGCCTGCGTGGCTCAAAGGCCACCGACAGGTCACGCGCTGGCTGAAGGCGCAGAACCCAGCGTGCCGAGGGGGCGCCAGCCCCGGGGCCGCCGCCGCTGCTCGCGGCCGAGGCGCGGGCGGCCGCGCGGCCGCCAGGGGGCGAGGCGGCGCCCGGGGGCGCCGCGGCCGCGGTCGCACTTCCGCGGCGACGGCACGTTCCCGCCGACCAGCGGCAGCAGGGCTGCCAAGGAAGCGGAAGGCGCCCGCGCCGAAGCGAGCTGGCCGCCCCGATTTCACGGCCGCCCGCCCCCCTGCGCCACAGCCGCCGAGTCGCCCCACGCGCGGCGGCGGCGGCGACGCTGCAGGTGCGAAGCGCCAGCTTTGCCGCGGCTGGCTTGCGCTGGACGAGGAACAGAAGCAGTCCATCCTGGCCTGCGGCGTCGACAAGCTCCAGGGCTCCGACAAAGTCCGGCGATGCACTGGCGGTATTATGACGGCCGTCGCGTCTTGCGGCTGGCTCATGGATTGGATGGAGCTGACCCGCGGCGAATCCATCGAGGTCGTGTACGCCTTCGCCTTGCGGCTCCACAAGGACCCTCGTCGCTGCGGGGCACTTTGCTCGATCTGGCGCCCCGCGAAGATGGGCGGATCCCCAGGAGGGAGGAAAAGGGGTAGGAGCGGGACAACACGGCGCCGAAGAGCTCCAGGCGGCCCCCGCCGCGCGACTCGCGAGTGCAGCTGCGCTGCGTTGTCCAAGTTTGCCTTTTTCCTCCCTGCGGAGCCCCCGCTCGCCTTCGTGGGCCCCTCGATCGCTCGAGAGGACGCCCGGGGCCTCGGCTGCGTCATCGGGTGGCTCGGCTACGACAACGCCTGCAAGTTGCTCTCCATGGCACGCGCCAAGAAAGATGATTTTCTGCCGTGGACGAAATCGCTGGCTGAGGAAGTGCGCATTGTCCTGGACGGTTTCCACAGGGACAACCACACGTGGTGTCTGAATGCGCTCCCGGAAGTTGACCCGCTGCAGCCGGCGAACGAGAAGTTTTTGGCGTTAAAGAACACGGAGGCTTGCGAGCAGCTCAATGCGTGGATGAGCCCCCGGACGCGCATGTGCCTCGAGATGACGAGAGCCCATTTCCAGCTCCACTGGTGGATATCATGGCTGATTCGCCATTCCCGACTGCGCCCTTCGCGCTCGCGGGGCCCGCGAGCGCTCTTTGCTGGCGGGCGGGGCGAGGCAGGTAGAGGGCTCCCGGATCGAGAACTTCGGAACACCCCCCCCGCGCGCCGCGCGCCGCTGCTCCGACGGGTGCCCCCGTCGGGGCTCGCGGATTCTGTCCGATGTCCATAACGAGTGGCTGCAGCGCGCGGCGGCGAGCAAGCGCCGCCGCTTCGCCGCCGGGGCCCTGAAGCACGACCCCGACCTGCCGGCCCCGCGCAGGCGCCCGGCGGCTTGAGCGGAGTGATCTGGGCCAGGGCAGCCGAGGCCGTAAAGGCGACCTCGATTGCGCGCCCGCCTTGGCCCCGCCCCCGCGCGAAGCCGCGGCGGGCCCGAGCGACGCCAAGGGGGGCGATTGGCGGGGCTTGCGCAGGCGGGGGCGATCGACCTCACATCGCCATTGCGTCGCCGATCGGGGCCCAGGCCCCGCGCGGCCCATGCCGACCCATCGTCGATGCATCGCCGAATCCAAGTCGTTCTCCCCCGCCGAGCCAGCAGGCCCGCCCATCGCCCCCCTCGGCCGCGCGCGCCAGGGCGCGCCGTCCCAGCGATGCATTTGGCCGCCCGAAGGAAAGACTGGCGGCTCTTGACGAGGCCCAGGGGCGGCGCCACTGGGCATTTCGTGCATTCGATTCGGCGAACTGGCCCCGCGAGGCACCCGCGCCCCCCGCGGGGCCCCTCCGAGCCCGCCCGCGGCAAGCTCTCTCGCCGCCGCAGACCTTATCGACCGAGTCTGCGCGGCGCGCCGCCCGCTGGCCGCGCCGCCCGCCCGCCCCTGCTAGGCCCGCTTCCGCATTGCGGGCGTCGCCGGGGCGGGGAAGGGCGCCCGTCGAATGGCCCGCCCCGCGGAGGGCTCGCTACCCCCCGCGCTCACCAGGGGGGAGATCCGAGCAGCCTATCGCCTAATGGAGAGTCAAAACCCATTTCCCGAGGAGGTCGCGCGGCGCGCGTCGCCGCTGATGTGGGCCATCGCGACTGCGCTGGGGAAGGCGACGTCGCTGCGCCCCTCCTGCGTATACGTCCACATCCTGCTCCTCATTGCGACGACGTTGGGCGCCGTCCAGCTCAAGTACGGCGGGGCCCTTGCGCGCCACTGCAACCTGCTCATGCTGCAGCACGGCGAGCCGGGAGATGGCAAGTCCATTGCCTTGTGGCTCGACGTTCAGATCCTGTCCTACTACGACCAGGCGAGAGAGGCCCGCGCCAAGCGGAGGTACGATGCCGCTCTCGAGAGGCATGAGCGAGACCCGGAGACCGAACCCAAACCAGAAAAGAAGCTAGAGAAGGATTCCATTTTCAACAAGGGTACCTTCATTGGCCTTGGAGGGTTCATGCAGGCGCAAGAGGATACCGCGTTCCTGGCGCTGCACGAGGGGAAGACGCGGCTGCCCCAGACGTTCGACAGTGGGCCTGGCGGCGGCATTGATGACCTCAACCAAATCCACGACCACGACCTCTACAAGAATCACCCCGGTAACAGCCAAAACAGGTTCCGCGTCAGGAGCCCACACTTGCGCGGGGCAGTCATGATGCACGTCGAAGAGGTTTATGACCAGGCGCAGAAACCAGACTCAACAGCGGGCATGATGCGCTTCCTCGTGGGCCACTTCATCGCGGTGGTCAACAAGATCTTGCCCGACTTGCCCCCGCCGCAGCTTGCCCGGATCCTGGATAGCGACCCGAATTACTTCAACGATCTGACCTACGACGACGTCGTGGAAGCGCTGGGGGGGGGGTCATGCTGGTCTCGTCTCTCCTGTTCCCAAAAGGCAAGGAGCGCCGTGACGAGAGGGGCTCGAGCGACCGCTTCTCCAGAGTTCGCGGGACGTACTTCCTGCCCTGGGCCCCAGAAGTCAAGGAGCACTTCCGCACCGAGTTCAACAAGTCTGCCGATTTCGTCCGCGGCGAAGCCCGGGCGTCCAAGGGGGATAACGAGGACAGCGGATATTCCGCCGTCCGGAAGGACATGGCGCGGACGCTCCAGTTCATCCCGCCGATCGCCGTGGGGGAGAAAGTGGTGGGATTCCTCCTGGGGAAGGCCGGCAAGAGTGATGACCAGGTACAGGAGATGACTGGGGAGGAGATTGTGGAATGTTTGGGAAAGCATGCCCGCGCGAACATCGATGCCCTCTTGGACGACTTGGACCCGTCCCACATTCCCCCCGAGGTGACGCGGCCATCAGTTGACGCCGCCGTGGCGTTGGGGGGCTGGTTTGCCAAGAACTTCCAGATGACGGTGCGCGCCAAGGAGGTAACTAAAGACTTCATGGAGGCCTGCCCGCGTTTCGCATCCATGCCGCCCCCCACCCTCGCGTCTGCGGAAAGGCTCGTAGGGCATGATATCGTGTCTAAGGCGAACCCCATGCTGACCTTGCAGCGCATCGCCAACAATTGGAACGTCAAAGCTTTCGCGCAGAACCCCTTCACCACCGACGCCGACATCAGGGCTTTGCAGCTGGATTACGTCATTCTGACGCACATGGGCTTCCTCCTCGTCGCAGACGGTCGCGTCGCTGTGGCTGCGTACGCGGCCGACATCGAGAGCATCGTGAGAGCCGCCAACCGCATGATGAAGTGGGACCCCAGCGTCGTCCTCCGCGACCTGCGCGAGTTGGTGCCCGAGGGCGCTGCGGGCGCGCGCGAGGAGGGGGACCAGGGCGTGGCGGATCAGATCTGCCAAGGCTTGAAGGACATGCTCGACGGCAAGCCTGTGGATCTTGACCAGCTCCGCGCTCTGGAGGCCCCTCTCGTCGCCGAAGTGCGCGGCCAGAGCGTGCCAGCGTCGCAGGCGGGCGCCCCTCCGCCCGTGGGCCCGCCGAGCCAGCTTGGCGCTTCGGCCGCGACAGCGTCGGGGCTCACGCAAGCCGCGTTCCCGGCCGCAGACGAGGCAGCAGCAGGAGCTGGAGGCTCTCGCAAAAGGATGCGCACTGAGGCCCCGATGGCGGAGGACAGTTTCGAGGAGGAGCCTGGGCTCAAGAAGAGGATCCTGGTGTCTATCCTGAGCAGCGCTCAGGACCCGTACGCGGCTGCCAAGACAAGTCTTCGTTCACTGGGGCCACCCCAGAGGCCATCGAGAGTTCCATGCGCATGATGATTCGGTTCGCCGACGCCGCTGGCTTCGGAACGCTCCAACACGGAGGGTCCGCGGTTTAAATGCACCAGGTGCCTGCCGAGCACAACGACGCTGTTTACCAGGAGCTCCAATCACGCTTGGGCCTCACGCCAAAAGGCACAAAGAAGATGAAGGATGCAAATGATGTTCGGGTGCCGTCGTCGGACTTCGACTTCGCAAGCTTCATGAGCAAGGCCTCCCTTTTGGGGCACATTTTGAAGAACGCCGCCTGATGTCGGCACGGCGCGCGAACATGGTGGCGTTTCCGCTTCGGTGCCGCTCGCTGCACACATGGTTGCGGCCTTGGTTTTTGATTCATTCCACGCGGACCTGGGGAAAACACGGCATTCACTGTCCCTGGGTGCGTGGCTGAAGTGGGATTCCGCGGTGCGGATTATCGTTGTTGTTGTTTGTTGTTGTTTCTTGTTGTTTGTTGTTTGTTGTTGTTTGTTGTTTGTTGTTGTTGTTGTTGCCGTTGTTGCTGTTGTTGCTGTTGCTGTTGAACATTATTACTTCTAAAGAATAATTATTGTTGGGGCCCCTGGTGCGCGACCCCCCCGCCGCGCCTAGGCCGCAGCCTCATTTTCATCATTTTCGTGAGGAAGTCTCAGGCAAAACGGGTTGGTCCGGACCCGGCTGTGTTGTTACGATCGGTTTTCCCTTGCAAAACAAAAGCTAAAGTGGACATTTCTTGTTCTAACATAACCAAACTTCAAGAATCCCTTGCAAAAAATAAAGTAAAGTGGACATTCGCGCGCGCAAAACGAAATCCTTCCAAAACCTTAGTTTTCGTAGCGATTTTAACATAAAAACATCAAAAACCAATGGTTTTTCAACAAAAATGTCAAAATTTCATCCCGCGCGCTCTTGCGGATTCGTAGGAAACCCAACACTTTTTAATCATTTCTGTCAAACGGGCTTTTGCGAGCAACTTTTTCGAACTTCTGCAACAACGGTTGCGCACCTGCCAGGGCCATCATCCCTGTCAAATAATACCATGCGGGACACATTCGTTTTTTCTTCGCGCGCGCACGCCGTCGTCGTCGGCCGCGGGGCCCTGAATAGTAGCCACGGTCGTCCGCATGCCACGAAGTGAAGTGTCCGAACGTCATAGGGCGGGAAGCTGGGTGTGGGTGGTGGCGAAGAGTCGTTTGGAAATTTGGTAGAGCTTGAACCGGCCCCCCCACAAAGTGGGGGTATTGCCCGCCTCCTATGAAAACCCTGGCACTGGTGAGAACGGTGTGTCCCCACGTGCTAGTAATTGTTGTTGTTGTTGTTGTTGTTGTTGTTGTTGTTATTGTTATTGTTATTGTTGTTGTTGTTGTTGTTGTGTTGTTGTTGTTGTTGTTGTTGTTGTTGTTGTTGTTGTTGTTGTTGTTGTTGTTGTTGTTGTTGTTGTTTGTTGTCGTCGTCCCACCCGCAACCCGCCCCGCGACCCACCCCGCGACCCACCCGCGACCCACCCACCCGCGACCCGCGACCCACCCACCCCGCGACCCACCCCGCGACCCACCCCCGACCCACCCCGCGACCCACCCCGCGACCCACCCGACCCACCCGCGACCCACCCGCGACCCACCCACCCCACCCCGCGACCCACCCGACCACCCGCGACCCACCCGCGACCCACCCCGCGACCCGCCCGCGGCCCACCCGCGACCCACCCGCGACCCACCCGCGACCCACCCGCGACCCACCCGCGACCCACCCCGCGACCCACCCGCGACCCACTTTCGACCCGAACCACGTTCAAGGTACAAATCACAATTTTCGGCGCCTGCGGCGGGCTTTTTTTGCATTCCTTCGGGTGGAGAGCCCGCGACCCACCCCGCGACCAACTCGCGACCAACCCGCGACCTAAACCGCATTCAGGATACAAACCACATTTTTCGGCGCCTGCGGCGGGCATCTTTTGCGTTCGTTTCAGGTGGAGAACCCGCGGCCCACCCGCGACCACGTTCAGGGTACAAACCAATTTTTCCGGCGCCTGCGGCGGGCATGCAAACCAATTGTTTCGGCGCCTGCGGCGGGCTGCTTTTGCATTCCTTCCAGGTGGAGGTGGAGAGCCCGCGACCCACCCGCGACCTAAACCACGTTCACTGAACAAACCAATGCCGCACAAGCGC